ATGCTCCCACTTAAGTCCTTGCATGTATTTCGTGAGCGTTTTTATAAATGTGTGCATGCATGATTTTAATTTTAATTAACTTTTGCAACGAAGATTGTGTACCATATGTATCGCGGGGAAAAAGAAGGAATGGTTTTGAATTAAGGGGAGTATGGCATTCTGCGGAGAGAACGAGACCTTCCGTGCGAGTCGCATTATTAGGTCAGACGTACTATAGTCAGTATTATAGTCAGGCTTCGTAATGCAAAATTTCTCGACGTTATCCACATTCTACTTACCCGTAGTGCCACATTTCCCTTAAACCAGGACTCTTCTTTCCTCTCTTTAATAATGCCAGTAAATAAAATGTGCATAGTTTCGAGTAATTTTGTACTACGTGGGCTGACTATACTCCACAAAACAGTCATTTATTTTGTGTAAAGTTTAATTTTGCCTAAGATTTATTCAAAGCACTTTTTAAAGCACCTAAAAATCTCCAGTATATGATATGTACTAATTCTGTATAAAAATGTAAAATAATGATCATTTATTTTGTGTAAAGTTTAATTCTGTCTAAGATTTATTCAAAGCACATTTTAAAGCACCTAAAACTCTCTAGTATATGTTATATACTAATTCTGTATAAAAATGTAAAATAATGATCATTTATTTTGTGTAAAGTTTAATTCTGTCTAAGATTTATTCAAAGCACTTTTTAAAGCACCTAAAAATCTCCAGTATATGCTATATAGTAATTCTATATAAAAATGTGAACTAATGATTTGTCATACGAGTCTTTACATTCGAGATAATTATAGTTGATAACTCATCAAGCATGCAGGCCCATTCAGTATGACTCGTCTAGCGTGTCTGACCATGCTTGACGTTTCTACTTGCATTGGGTGTTCGTAAGCATTCGTGTCTGCGCGTCATTATTTCATTCAACTGGTTGTAATTGGTTAAACGATAATAAAGTCAACGTACAAAACAAAAATAGAAATGATTTTTCTAATAATAAAAATTGTAACTGAGAGATGTTTAGGTGAATAATCCTGTATACGCAGAGGCAAAAGTTTTCTTATTTCGGAGCTCATAATTATTTTACTAAAGTTAGAGTTAAATAATGTTGTGATTAATTTTACATATTTGTAACATCTTATTTGTACAAACAGGGAGTGTAGACATTTCTTGAACAGTTAAAATTAGAATTAAATAATATTGTGATAAATTTCACATATTTGTAACATCTCATTTGTACAAACAGGAAGTGTAGACATTTCTTGAACAGTTAAAATTAGAATTAAATAATATTGTGATAAATTTCACATATTTGTAACATCTCATTTGTACAAACAGGAAGTGTAGACATTTCTTGAACAGTTAAAATTAGAATTAAATAATATTGTGATAAATTTCACATATTTGTAATATCTCATTTGTACAAACAGGGAGAAATATCCTGATCAGTTAAAGTTAGAATTAAATAATATTGTAATAAATTTCACATATTTGTAACCTCCCATTTGTATAAACAGGGAGAAATTTCCTGATCAGTTAAAGTTAGAATTAAATAGTATTGTGATTTTCACATATTTGTAACCCCCCATTTGTACAAACAGGTAGAAATTTCCTGATCAGTGAATCGAATCAATTTGGGGCACAGAAATGTTAAAGTTTACAAACATCGAGCAGTACGCATCGATCGAGTTATAAAATTTCATGAAAATGGAAAGTCTCTCAGTGAAATTGCTTTATCTATCGGAAAGTCAACAGCGAACGATGTAATTGTCAATTATCGTGCCGGATATAATCTCCAGAGTCATCTAAAAAGTGGAAGGCCACGGAAAACATCCGAAAGAGCGGGATCGAAGTATAAAACGGAAGGGGGAACGGGCGGATGTAAAGAAAACGGCTATCGACGTTGCTTGCGAATTACGTGTAGAAAATTTAACGGATATTAGTCGTTCGACCGTAACAAAACGTCTGCGTTGGCGTGGCGATTTTTTCGTCTTGTTTGCGCGAAAACATTTTTCATTCGTGACAAAAGCCAGAAGGCCAGGCTGCAGTTCGCTTCCCGACCACTGGGACTCTCGAAGATTGGAAAAAGTGGCCTTTTTCGATTAATCGAAGTATAATTGCTTTGGCCGCGATGGGAAACAATATATTCGAGGAACAGCTGTCGTGTCGCAGAAATAATATCACAGTGGTTGACCAAACTATTAGTTAAACGTCGTAAATTAATTGTCACTTACCGTTGAAGTAAGGCCAGCCACCGAATACATTTTTAATTAGTTTTGTTTGCGGTTTAGAATCTCTTGGACGCTCTCAATAATTCAAGTCCCTACGGCGGTGAAAATTCAACGTTTCGCTTTGGCAATTTAATTTCCACCTCGTCAGGAAGCCCGTTTTATAAATTTTAATATGTAATTTTCACACGCGTAACTAATAATTTAGTCATTCTCTGTGGATAGCAAATTTTCAGTATCAAACACGGCGAAGGAGATAGTTTGGCGAATATTCTCTGCCAAAGGAGTTGGACCTCCAGTTGAGATCAACACTATCATGAATAATGAGCAATGGACAAACACGTCTAGCGTCGTTTACAGAGGATTTTTCGAGAAGAATTTACGCCACCGTATGTTGAAATGAAAATACCTTAAAACACAACGGGACAACGGTCCGAGGCATACGTTGAAGTTGGTCAAAGAGTGATTATCTTTTAGAGTTTTAAAGCGGTTAACGTAATGTGGCCGGATTAAAAACCCGATTAAGCGTTTATTGGATGAGCTGCGACGTCGTATCGCTGAAACGAAACATTCGAATAAAATAGAATTACCGATTCCCTAAAGGAAACGAAATAAAGTTTCGCCCGATTACATAATAAGATTAATCGAATCGATGCCTCGAATCAATCGCGTAGTTGCGTCGCTGGGCATAGCTGCGAAAAATATGGCGATAAAATATTAATCAAAAAGGTCGACGTACATAGTTCATAGTATTGTCTAATCATTTCGAGATTAAATATAATAAATCAAATAGCTTGAAACTTTCTGGCTACTATCACATTGACTGTCAGTCTAAAACCGTAAAATTGTTTACGAGACCAAAAGATTGATTTTAGACAATTGTAAACTACATAACTTAAAACTTGTAATACTTGCTTTCGTGACTTCACTAAAATTTATGAAGCTTATTCAAATTTATTTTCTTCGACATTTCAACTTGAGAATTGTTTTAGTTCCATTGTTAAAAGTTCTGTCACACACATATGGGTGACGTGGCAGTTGTACAATTTTTGCGTGAGATTTATCACTTCATTGTCTGGCTTCTTTTATGTCATGATTGATCCCAAGGTTGTTGGATCTTATTTGTGGAAATTGTTTGGGAAATTTGCCGTTATTGGAATATTTTTTCATTGTAAAAATTCTGCCAAGATTTTTATAAGTACTCGACTGGAATGTCAGAGACTCGCTCGACTCGAGGGTAATTTTTATCGTATCTTTTCCTGGAATATTTACCCGATAATTCTCTCTGTACGCTTGATATTCGACTGCGGTTATCGTGGGTGCATTTTTGGCGATACGTGGCGCGAATGTGTGATGTAGGTGTGAATTCTGTGAATGGCGTGTAATCTCGATGCGTATCTAACGAAATCATCGAAGTTAAATGAAACATCGCAAAGGATCGTTCTAGAATGAAGTAGTACAAAGTTGTAACATATAATGGGGAACGAAAGTAAGTGTATCTCGACAATGGAAATAGTCGTCGATGAAGATCAATCAAAATAGTACTATTGTTATATAAGTAAATTTATTTATTGCGTACATTATGTGGTAAAGAATTTAGAAATTATGATCTCAAATATCGCTGCTATTTTACAAATTTATAAATCTTAAAGTTGACATTTTAGATAGATGAATACCAAGTAGAGAGAAACACATAATGGAGAGAAATTGCATCGATTAAATTCCATTGGCAACTATTTCTGAATTTGGGCCAATTTCGGGGGTCTCCAGGCCCACTCTGCGCCGTGGGCAGGCTTCCAGTCGTGATTCGACCCAGTGGCGTAGGACACCCCGTATACACGTACGGCGGTAGGTATCGGGAAAAGAAAGAGAGGCACTATCGTACCTTTCGTGGCGATGCAATTCCACGATCCCTGTGATCCTGGGACAACATTTCCTTACTACCGGTGTAATAAAAGAGAGAGAAGGAGAGTAATACGCGAACCGTACTGCGAGCACGGATCCTTCAACGAGATACGTAATTTTATCGATCTCGCCTCGCCGTTGGTTCGTTTCCGCGCGTATGCACGTAGGTACGCGACCCTGTACAATTCTGTGACCCCCTGAACACATCCACCAGAACGGTAAAAAAAAAAGTGCTCCCGGTGTAGAGATGCGTTATTTCTTCGGGGGTTGGGGGGAGGGAGAAAAAAAGAAAATAGTAATTCTATTGATCCGCGTACGCCGGCGATGCTCTGTTCCACCGACGGATAAATCTAGGCATTTAGCCTCGCGTACACCAGCGTATCTACAGGTGGAGGCGCCTGCGCCCCGACGCCAGAGTTTATTCGTAGACGTCACTCACACCTGCGTGACTTTGGAATACGCGGGGCTACGTGTCTCTGCGTATTCATCCCGCGCGTACTGCACCCGCAGCCAGGACCGTGGGATTCTTCTATATCAATTCAACCTGTATCCCCCCCCACCCCCACCTCCTCTCGTCTCTTTCGCTTTTCCACCCCCGTTCCATCGTTCGGTAACGCGTGTTCCGACGCTCGTGGCCTCGTTTACGCATCTTTCGGTGCCCGTTTATCGCCAGATTGTTAAACGCGGAACGAAAACGCGCGACCCTTTCAACCCCCCGTTTCCCTTCTCGTCCAAGTTTCAACAATGCACAGTGAAACAAGCACGCAGAATTATTCCGCGCGCGGTGCACGCGTTCGCGCTTTGCCGCGTTCAAAATTTCACGCGTTCGGATCAATTAGTTTAGTTAAAATCTTGTATCGTTCGACTCACCCTATGTGCAGCGACTGGTTACGCCGTGTCAGCCTCTCGATAAGAAATCTTCACGGTCACTGCAACACTTTCCACCCCTGTTCAGTGGAAACTGATCTCTTTGTGCATCTTTGCATCGGTAATATCGACGTTATTCGCGATCTTCGATCGATCGAGGGAGAACAAATTCGCTAGTTAGCGAGGTAAAAATTTCATATTTTCGTCGTGTTCTCGATAAATCGCCGCGCGAATCGACGCATTCGACGCCGGGGATCGACGATCGAACGAACAACGCGAACGCGTTGGGTAAATAAAAATCGAACCGATGCGCTCGCGCGTTGCTATGTAGACGCGTGCATTCGCTGCTGGAGGGTGTATGTTGTGCAACCTACCGACCGCAGTGATAGCTTGGGGTGTACTGAACATGAGGAGAGGGTTGGAAAACGACGTGGAATCGCACCTAACCTTACCTAACCGAGTGGCAGTGGCGCAGCGTGTGCCCTTCGGTCGCGCCTGCGTAGCCACAGTCACGCTCAAACTTTCCCGACAGTTCGAGCAATCGGGAAGGAAAGTGGAAACGGGATTAACTAATACGTTCGATTCCAATTGGATATTCGGATCTAACCAAGGAATCTCTCGAGTTTGGTTTCGTGCGGTATTCCCCGGACACGAGCGACGTTCCGATAGTTTCAAACTTTTTATATAGCTTTAACTCTTCCGTACTCGCGGTAAAAAATTGTAACGCGGTTTCCGCGACCCCGAACCGTAAATCATGCGCAAAAGCATCTATTTTATAGGTATAAAACAATAAAGAAAAGATAAGTGACAATTTTAACATGGTAGGGTTGATGAACCCCTTAAATTGTCCGCGAAAACGATTCTTTGTTTTTGGACAACTGGGAACTAACGTAAAATTTGCCAGAAAATGAGCTACACGAAGATAGGTGACAATTTTAACATGCTAATATTTAATGCATTGATTGTCAGATCCAACCCCTTAAATTGTCCACGATAATTGTATTTCATTTGCACTTCGATTGGAAACTAGCATACCCACAATTTGTCATGGAATTTATTTGTACAGCAAAACAATGAATTGACTCCACGAAGATAGGTGACAATTTTAACATGCTAATATTTAATGCGTCGATTGTCAGACCAAACCCCTTACGATAGTTTTTAAATAATTGGAAACTAGCACACCTAGAATTACCCATAGTAATAAGTGTAATAATCCAATGTAAAATAAGTGTAATAATTACACTTATTTTCACAGCTTCGTTAAAATTCAAGGATCTATCCAAATGTATTTTCCTTGACATCTAATCCTGAGAATTAATTTTTTTAGCTCCTCAGGGAACAATCATGTCACAAGGCGTCCCGTAGCATGTGGGATCCACTCCAGAGATGAATTCCACAGAAGATAATAACAAAAGTTCATAGAAACGTGTGCCCTATCCGACCCCATTCTTAAGTTATATTTCTTCTTGAAAATATTGTATTTACCTTCACAATATGTGTTAAAAGAGACTTTCTTGCATCTAAACATAAGTGTGGTGACGTCCTACAAGTGGCTGTCTTACCCTCTCTATTTAACAAAATATTATTTATAATAATAAACCCATACTCATAGTTCATATCTGCTATTTATTGACTAGACAAAGTTTCTATTTTCACATAGAACTTTAATGTTCATAGGAAGTATTTACAGAATTAAAATACAAGATTGAACGTCAAATATTGTGTTCATAAATAGTTAAGTGAAATCAGCCCAACAATCCTCATCTTTTAAAAGAATTATTCCAACACAGAACTCGCTATAACTTGAAAATGGGGTGAAATAGAACATACGTTTCTATGAATTTTTGTTATTGTTTTTATGTGTAAAATCTATCTCTGTCCCATTCTGACATAAGTGACATGGTAATCTGTTAAATTGTCATGGACAAATTATATCATTATCTTAAATAAGTAACGAAATGCGTGTGTATTTTGTTTTTTATCTTTCGAGGCGTTCTTCAATTTTTTCCGTATCGTACGGGAGTCCAGTCAATGAGAAGAAAGGATTAGAATTTTTGTGGATTTATTTTAAAGGTTCTAGAATTTTGTTATATTTTCTGACGAAAGTAAGTTTAACGTTTTGGGGATCTGATGACCAGGCAAAAGTTTGGAGCAAACCAAACGACGCGACGAACTAAATCCCAACAATTTGTGTAGCTCAATTAATCACTGGGGTGATAAAGTGTTGGTAAACTACACTTTGTTACGGATACTATGGATAGAGTAATGTATTTAGATATTACAAAAAATAATATGCAGTGTAGTGCTAAAGAAATGAGCATCCCAGATGTGTCTCTTCGTTGTCAAGATGACTATTCTAAGTGTAAATCAGAGGTAGCACGAGAATGTACTATAATTGCATTTAATAACTGAGATGGTGTGCAATAGAGTAATAGACTTGCAAAACAAATTGAAGGAAGATTAATTAAAAAAGAATCGTACAAGTTAGGGAGCAAAAAGAATATCCAATGAAATATCAACTATAATAAAACAAACAATTATACGAAATGTGCCAATGATTTTTTAAGTAATTGGTCTTTTATCAATGAAGAATCTAAACTATCAATTTTTTAATAAAACAGCATTACAGCCCTTTTATTCTCTTCCGCACGTTGGAATCTTCTAACGAACGTGGAAAATATTTTCTACTTTTCGAAACCTTATTTCACGATACAATGCGTTATTTGCGTTCTGACATTGCAATCCTGTGAAAAACGAGCGAGCCTCTTATTTATTGTTGTTTTTTCCCCCCAATTGTTACGTTTGGTGATAAATTTGAGGCTCCGTAGAACAGAATGTCGTGCCTATTTTAGTACAATGTTTGCAGAAGCTTACGTATTACAGTGCTTTTCGAACGTGAACAGTCACGATGTACGAATAGTTATGCCTCGCGAGTTCGAAGTAGGTCATAATGCAGCAGTAGCTATTCGAAACGAACAAAAAGCTTAGGGCGATGATGCAACTATCGAACGTACTGCACGTCGCTTGTTCAAGGAACATCGAACAAGAGATACCTCAAAAAATCGAAAAGTTCGAGGACGCGAACCAAAAGTGGTCAGAAGTGTTTTTGAAATAGAATAAAATGACAGCAGAAATTTTGGACGCCCTCTTTCCAAATATCGGATTTCCCTGCAACGTCACACGCGTCAAATACTCTATTAAAAGCACATAAATAGGTGTAAAGCAATAAAAATAGATACAAGTTGTTTTAAATATTAATTGCAGAGAAGATAAATATAAATGAAAGATTATAATTGAAGCTTAAATTGGGGTGAAATTTATCAATGTTCGTTTGTGTTTTAAAATTTAATTTTCTATGATTTTCTGTGATTTTAACATAATCGCAGGAGCAAATATTAATTATACAGGGTGAGGCATTTTAAACAGGTCACCTGAATAACTCGCTTGTTTTTGAAGATAGGAGAAAATGCATTAGACCAAACTTATTTGGTATCGGGGGGCTCATAATCTGGTATTACCAATTTTTTTGTAGGTGGAGGCGTCAAGGAGATATGAAGATCAACTTTGTTTTTTTAAATGGAACAGTATATTTTATTACTTACATTCTGATAGAGTGTTTCAAGGCGAATACAATGACCTATTATTAAGGTCATTCAAGGTCACCCAAAGTCAACTGCAATAGAAAATAAATTGTGTCAAAGCACTCTTCGAACACTTGGATACTTTGATACTGCTATTACAAGTGTTCAAAATGGCGACCTTGAACATGGATACATAGTCTAAATCGTTGCAATACTGATGACACTGCCTGGCAAATTTCATTTGTATCTATTACAGAGCAAGCTCTTCTTATACGTTCTTGCATGTCAAGTTTGGTAGTTGGTTTTTCGCGGTACACTTCTGCCTTTAATTTTCCCCACAAATAAAAATCGAGAGGTGTCAGGTCTGGGGATCGTGCCGGCCATTTGTTACTTCCTGATCGACCTACCCAAGAATCTCCAAATTTTCTATTTAGAAATTCTGTAACATTGCGTGCTGAATGAGCAGGGCATCCGTCTTGCTGGAACCACATGGATTGTCGTATGTCCAGTGAAGTGTCTTCTAACAATTCTGGCAAAACGTCTTCTAAGATTCTCAGGTACTTACTACTATTTAGCGTGCCATCAATAAAATATGGACCAATTATTTTATTATGAAGAAGACCGCACCAGACGTTTACAGACCAAGGTCTCTGTTTGTCGACTTCTGTCAACCATCGTGGATTATCTACCGACCAGTAGTGCATGTTGTGACGGTTAATTGCTCCATGGTTTGTAAATGTGGCCTCATCGGTAAATAACAATTTACTCAAGAACATTTCATCGTCTTGTAGTTTTTGTAAGCCCCATTCACAAAATTGTAAACGTTTTGTATAATCATTTTCAGTTAATTGTTGATGAAGTGATATGTGGAACGGATGAAATTTGTTAATGTGTAATATTCGTAAAATACTTCGTTGACTGATGCCACTTTCGCGTTCCAGTTGTCTTGTACTAACATGTGGATCTTGTATTACAGCTGCTACAATATTTATCGAGTTTCCATCACCAGTTGCTCGTTTAGAAAGATTACGTGTTTTGTTATCCACAGTTCCAGTTTCTTGGAACTTTTTTATAATGTTTGTAAAGACAGAAAGTGAAGGTCTATTATTACGATCGGGAAATCTTTCACTATACACACGTACCGCTTCCCTCATAATTCTATGACATTCACCATAAATAAGAACCATTTCTACTTTCTCTGCTATCGTGTAACGCATTTTAGAAAACTAAACACTTAGACTGAATAAATGTTACGAAGCTGTGCTCTAGTCGGTAGTAAAATTACCAATAATGTTTGAGGATACGGATAAGCGTACAATGTGATTGAATGTTTGTTTATCTTTTGTGACCCGTGTCACGCAATACACACACGTGATACACAAGTATTCGAAATGTACTCTGACACAATTTATTTTCTATTGCAGTTGACTTTGGGTGACCTTGAATGACCTTAATAATAGGTCATTGTATTCGCCTTGAAACACTCTATCAGAATGTAAGTAATAAAATATACTGTTCCATTTAAAAAAACAAAGTTGACCTTCATATCTCCTTGACGCCTCCACCTACAAAAAAATTGGTAATACCAGATTATGAGCCCCCCGATACCAAATAAGTTTGGTCTAATGCATTTTCTCCTATCTTCAAAAACAAGCGAGTTATTCAGGTGACCTGTTTAAAATGCCTCACCCTGTATACGAGGAATATTTATTACATTCCATGTCAAAGTGCATTAGGTTTATACATTATCAGTTT